TAAAAGATTAGAAAGCACAAAGTTTAATAGGGTGATTCTTCCACCAAAAGATAGTAGTTGTGACTTCCAAGATGCCAACTTGAAATTTTCAATTAGAAAATTCCAAGAAATCAATCTTATCATGTTTTCTCCAATCAGTATCCCTAGATAAATAAAAGGAATGTTGCCAAATTCATAATGCAAAACTCCTGCCATTTTTGCAAGCCATTGTTCCTTCATATTAACTCTCATCAACTTGCTTTTGTAATAATTTACCTTCAACCTTGATATCAGTTCAAAAGTTCTCATGATACATTTTAAAGCCTACACATTTTGCTCTATTACCTCTGCAAAAATAATTGTGTCATCCATTAACTGTAAATAAGATATACAATATTCCTCCCCTTTACAAAAATAATTGTGTCATCCACAAACTGTAAATAAGATAAACGATATTCGTCCCTACCATTCTAAACTCCATTGAACAAATTCAAACCCACTGCAAATCTCATAATGCCATTAAGTCCTTCTGTTATAATTAGAAATAGAAAGGGGGAGAGTGAATCCCCTTGTCTCAACCCTCTACTCATTATAAATTCCTTTGTTGAACTCCCATTCACTAACACTGATACTAAGTTGATTTTGAGACATTCATAAATCCAATTTCTCCAAACTTCATGGAAACCCATTTTCTTCAACATATAAATCAAGATGTCCTAACTCACCTCGTCATATGCCTTCTCGAAATCTGCCTTAAAAATGATGCAACTCTTCCTCTTCTTTTTCACCTCATCTATAGTTTCATTTGCTATCATAACGCCATCCATCAACTGCATTCCTCCAATAAAAGAAAATTGTTCAGTTCCAATTATCCTGTCAATCACCCGCCTTAGTCTATTTGCAAGCAACATTGCCATCACCTTATACATGGAATTATGAGAGAAATAGGTCTGTAATCCTTGATTTTGACTAGATTTTCCTTCTCAGGGATCAATACCACAAAGGATGCATTTGACCCCTAACTAGCTTACCCTTTGTCTGAATATCTTTGACAAATTGAACCATGTCCTCTTTAATAGTCTCCTATAATGCTTTCAAACATCCAAAGTTGAATCGATCAAGTTCAAGAGCTTTTGAGCTACTACAATCCCAAACAGCCTGCCTTATCTCTTCTTCGCTAAACTTCGTAATCAACATTCCATTATCTTTAAGAGCAGTCTGTTGGAAATTTATATTCTCCAATATAGGTCTCCTCCACACTTCTCCAATAAACATCTTCCTAAAATAGTCTAGTAGCCCCTCCTTTAATTCCTATATCTCCATCATATTTTTCCCATCAATTTGGATGCAATTAATCTCATTTCTTCTCCACCTCCCTTTCACACACAATAATACAAATGGCCCACCAAATTAAAACCATTAGTCATATAATGACATGTTATGATTGTAATTTTATAATGACATATGACATTATAACTTTATTATTCTTTTCACTTTTTCTACCAATAATCTGTAAACAATTTATATTTTTACTTATATTATGTGAAGTATTACCCTAAAGAAAAAAAATAAAGAAATACAAATTTGGTGAAAATGTAGATAATTAAAGTTAAAAGATAAGAAAATGATTAGTACACCTTCCAGTTTGACCCACTTTTCAACATTTGTCTAGTTTAATCATTAAAATATTATATAAGTATAACTAATTCAATCAGTTCATGCATGTTGTATACATGACTATATTTTTAAATTTTTTTGCTTTTAAGTTCAAACTAAGAAATAATGATTTTCTAATAAGTGTGTTTTGCAATGTGTTGAATTGGAGAATATACCAATTATTATCCTAAAAGATTGTATGTAAACTATTTTTTTCTTATTTCACAATAGAGTCTTACAATTATACATGGCAATAATTGTCTTATCTCAAAATAATTATGTTTTCTTACTTTTCTTTTTCATAAACTAAAAATTTGGAGACTTTTTTTGTATTTATATATGCTCCTTCTGTTCAACTTAGGACCTAATTTTTAATTTGAGTAGTTTAAAATTAGTTATCCACTTTTATTTTATATGATATTAGTTAATGTGATTATTTATATTTTACTTGTATTTTAAAAGAAAATTACAACATAAACA